GTAATTCATCATTACCACTCTTGCGTGTTCCGTTTTTCTAGTTTTTACTGTCTTTGTTTCTTTCATATATTCACACTTATCAAGTGGACACTCAATCATCTTGCTTGTTGTATAACAACAGTTTTCACCTTATCAACCAAATTTAAAACTCATACTTCCATTGTTTGGTGATTCCTTTCTATCTGTAGGAACCAATTCTGCGTAACTCTGTATTGATTTTCCTATAACCTTATTATTCAATAATAGACGAGTATACGTTTTAACAAATATAAATACGATTGTACAGAGAGCTGAGCGAGGCGTTCGAAATGAATACAGGAGGGATACAAGACTGCCCCACTACTATCACCCATGATATTCTTAATTGTGGTGGACTGGATTACGTGCCAGACTGCACGTGGGTAGTTAGAAGACAGAAATACGCTATACTGCTAAGAAGACTCCAGGAGATCTGGATTTCCTCTGTGGATAATTTATGTTTAATGTCACACATATTGGAAGACTTGCAGGTGGAAACCACCGAACTGGCTAAAGAAGCAGGCAACGAAGACAGGACATCAGGTGAACATAGAGAAGTGGGAGGTGATGAAGAAAACCAGCCAACCAGCAGCAACAACAACAATCAGCACCAATCAACATCAACGGGAGAGATTTGAGAGAGGCTTCTTCCTTCACGTGTTTTGGAAGTATGCATCGTTTCAACCACAGGCGGAACGAATGAAGATGTCAACACTAGCCAGAATCCGAAAGGCAAAATACGCCTTCACCAACCTGAAACCAGTTAGGAAGTCTTCTGCACCCACTCATTCAGCAAGAATAAAGAACAACATTCGGATTCTGCTCAACACAAATGTCAAGTCGGTCCTTCTATACGGGTCACAAACTTGCACTGCGTGTAAGTTCCAGAAAGTATTTCCAACAGCCCGTTACAGACTTTTATCAACAGCTGCCACCTCCGCTGGCTGGCTGGCTCCATACTGAAAATGAAATGACTGGTGAGCCAGCCAGAAAGAATTAGCAATAAAAATGTCTGGCTGGCGATGAACAAACCAGCCGAGCAAGAACCAGTTGCTCCAACAAATATATGTAGGAGAAAATGGAGATGGATTGGGCACGCGTTGAGGAGGCTGTGGAATGACATTGTGAGCAATGCAGGTGATCATTTGAGTGGAATCCGTTTTGGAAGCGGCGAGTGGGTCTTCGGTTTAAGGGTGAAGTGGAGGAAATCGTGTGAGGAGACGAGACACTATGGGCAGTTGTGGGTCCAGAGGAGAGCAGAACATAAAGCAAAGTGGAGATGTGTTGTTGAAGCCCTATGTTTCACTTGGAACGCAAGGGAGTTATAGTAATAATGCAACCATTAAAGATGACTTCATAGATAAAGAAAGTTTTCATCATTAAATTTTCTTTAAATTTCTTCGTAATTCAATAGATATAAAGGAAGGTAATTAGTTATGATACTTCGTGATACACTGGAGGTTTTTCACACAAGGAGTCGGTAAACATGGGCGAAGAAATTTTAAGAAGTGTTGAAAGGATAAGGATGACTTTTAACCTTCATCATAATACTGCAAATGGACGACTTCTTTCTTTTTTACATCCTACAACGTACCGTAACGAGATGATTCAATGACTATAAAAGACTTAAGCAGAAGGTGCATTTCTTTCCTGCTTTGTGAGTTGTTCTCGCTTTGGTACACTTTACTCTGGATCCCACAACTTCAGTAGATGGTTTTTTTTCACATTCAATCAATTTTACACCATAAGACTGTTTTCAATTTAAATATATCCAATTCAGTGTAAAAACAGATGTATTTACTGATGAACAGCTTGTATTAAAGTTGTTAACTGAAACATTGCAGAGGTTAAAAAAGGAGTCTTATCGAGAACAAGTAAATTAGCCAGCGAAGTTCGAAACCTCTATAGTCAGAAGTGGTTCCTCTAGCACCTTTGTACTACTTTTCATGTCTGAACAGTTGTTAAGGTGTGTTACATGCCATTACATATGAAGTGTAGTTCATAGCTTAGCATATCTTAATAAAATCTATATTAGGTAAAAGGGTTAAAAGAAAAAAAATGAGACTGGTATTACGAATGTGGTGTGTACTACTGATAACAAAAGATGTAAGTAGCATTTAGGGTGATGTATTCTGGAAAAGTATTGATAATTTATATGTAACTGACAAAGCAGCTGCGGAAGTAACAAGGGACAAAAAAGGTTAGATTCAAGATATCATCCTTTATTGCCGAGTATTTTGTGATTTGGTCATCTAAACATTGTATCTATCCCTAGTAGGCTTGTTTCTACATTGATGGCGTTAGCACATACAGGTTAGATGTAAAGTAACTCTATCTAAGTAAAATATAAAAAATCTTTCATTTTGTCACTGATATTCAGTAGTAATATCTGCACTTTCGTTTTTCTTTTGTATTTCTGATTCATTTAGTATTCAAACCATCTATTTTTCGATCGATAACAATAAATTACTCACTATGTTATTGTTATGGTTAGCTATACTTATGTCTGTCTGGAATATGAGTGTAACAGATGAACCATATTTCAGCATTCGGTCATTATGCATATAGAATTTTTATAGTCCTTAAAAAAAGAATACTGTCTCAGATCATTTCGACACTTATTGATATGTGTCTGCACATTGAGAAATCTCGAATTCTACACATTATTTTTTAAGGTCGTTAGTCTGCTTTCAATGAATAAATTATTTTTATAAAGGTACTGACAGAATGTTCTAAAGTGGTGGTCGACAGTGAATTGAATCAGAATAATTTAAATGGGTTAATAAGCACTTCACAAAGCTCTGTCGAAAAAGGTTTCGATCTTACAGTAGTAAAAATGATCTGTAACTTATGATGATCACATGGTTTAGATATTCGATTGTAAATGTTTTATCACAGTAGGCTTGAAGACTTCAACTGGTTACTTGTTCTTTAATTCGGTGGCACAGCGGTTAGGTTGCTCACCGACCATGTACATGGTCCGGGGTTTGATCCCCGGCTGACGCACACCTGATATCAAATGGTCGGCCTGCTAAATTTGGGCTACCGATATCACATGCTGAAGAAAATTCGATACTTGTACCAAAAATACTGTGTGGAATCAAGCTATAATTAAATTTTAAAAAATAATAAAGCTTTTTTTAATAGATGTCTTTCTTCAGTCGATTAAGATGTCGCCTTTTCTACAGTCAATAAAAAGAGGTACTGGTGAATAGGGTCTTAGTGTAAAACAATAGTGGTTTATCACTTTCAGTCTTCTGACTCGTGTCTTCTGACTGACTGATCGAGTTCCAATGCAGTAATTAAAGTTGTCACATTCTGTGTGTAGCACACAAAGGTACAAAGAAAAGAGCATAAGAGATTCCAAAGAACTGCAGTGAATGGAAATGTACAGGACAAAGAAGAGTAACATGGAGAAACATGAGAGACTTCAATAGATTTGTGCCATCGAGGACGATTTTGAGCCATATATCACCAATAGTTTCATGTCCTAAGAAGGCATTTTCCAGTCCCCTTGTCTGTCTGTCTGTTTTCAACATAGAACTTTGCACAGATGTGCAGCAGTTCAAGTCACCACACTCCCTACTTGTAGCACACAGAGCAAGAGAAGAAAATAGAAGAAATGCATAATAGAGACAGTAAACAGAGGTGTGAGACAAAGGAATAGTAATAACGAAGAGCCAAACAGTTTCATTGGGAATCATAAGTCACATGGAGTGGATGCATCTGCGCCACTGAGAACGATTTTTAGCCATATCACCAATTGTTTCCAACCATTGGTTTTTACCGTCCCGAAGACCCCAACCAGTCAGGAAGTCTACACCTTCCTATGTGACTAGCTTAAACTAGCTGTTGTGGATTTCACTGATTGATGAGGCCATGTTTTGGTTTGACTGCCGCTAGCTGTTTTCCAGCCTGACCTTATGTCAGCTAACATTGCCCGTCGAGGAAGGCAAGCCCCCTTAAAGTACTTGGATTTTTTTAACTTTGTTTTATCATCTTTTTCACTTCCATTCTCTCATGTCAGCTCCTAATAGGGACTCTTTAACCATGACTTGAGAATATACTCATGAATTATGGCTTTTGAAGTATGCATGCTGGTTATTGTTATGTTTATCCCTGTAAAAACGGATTTGACCAAATTTTCATTTTCAATATCACACTTGAAATTGCATACAATTGTGTAAACTCTACTTATTATTTTTATTGTGACTATTATCATAAACACATTCCTTTAGCATTTATCCATACTTAATATTCTACTCCTTTTTTGTTTATTGATTATTTTTATTTCACGATTTTTAGTTCATCTTAGGCCATCATTGTTTTCACGTGTCCATTTTGCATATAAATTGAATTTTTACAGTTGTGAATACAATTTTGGCAACAAAAATTTAACCGGTTTACTCTACCTTGTGGTTTTGATCAAGTGTAAACTGTTCAAATATTTGAATTTTCAGGGCTTACAGCATACATAGTGCGTCGGTGGTACAGCGGTTATGACGCTCACCGACTATGCACATGGTCCGGGGTTCGATCCCCGGCCGACGCACTCCTTTACCTCGCTAAGCCAGTAGTGAGACTGATCGAGCGGAAAGGTTGGGCATGAGACTAGCAACGCCATCCTGTAAAAATTAAACACTGTTACAGAAACTTCAAGCATCTAGCTTGGAGCCCTATGTTTTACTGGGAACGTGAAGGAAAAAACAGCATACATAACTCAGCGATGCAGTATGGATTTTATTTTGCAGGCTTTAAAAGAATAATTGTCGTATAATATTGCTTGTAATATCATCTGCTGGTGCTAGTAGAAGACTGTCATCCAAGACTATGAGCCACACACTCCCAGTTTACTTTGTTAAAAGATCCAAAACAGGCAATATGCCGCTAAGTGTTCACTTTATCCTGCAGTGTTTGTTTCCGTTATTAATGCTGAATAATAATAACCATTCTATGTTTATTTTTATCATATGTTATTTTAGGCAGGGTTGGTTTCAGATACCACTTGTTCTCCTGGTAAACGAAGAAGTCGGCTACTGTCTTTGAGTAAATATCCAAAAGTTACCACAGATTACTTACTACAACTTTTAGTCTCCTACAGTAAGGTAAGTTGTTGTTTTGTTCTGAGTATCATATTGCATGCAGACTGCATTTCGATTGATCCTATGGCGTGTGCTACTGATAAGACTTATCAGTAGTATATATAAGGTGATGTTCATCGGCATAGGTGCAGTACTTAGACAGGATGAAGCAGTTATCGAATATGCCAGTCGTGTTTTAACACACACAGAGCAGAAGTATTCAACGATAGAGAAAGAATGTTTAGCAATAGTATGGGTGGTAGATAAATAGTGACCGTATTTACTCGGCCAACGGTTCCACATCGAAACTGATCGCAAGCCGCTACAGGACAGCGAGAGACCCTCGTGGGAAATTGTCATGATGAATGTTCAGTTTGCAGGAGTATGACTTCAAGATCTCACACGTCCCTGGCAAAGAAAATTATTTGGCAGATTTTTTATCTGGACCCGAAGACGAAGCTAAGTTACCGGAGATTGTTTACGGAGTGCATCCATTGGAACAAGACCCATTAAGACTTGCCCACAGTTAGAAATCGGACTTTACCCTGAATTCAGTCATACAAGTGATCACTGACAGAATAGAAGTGAATCAACCTATGGCTAGTAAGAAATTGATTATGCTACTCAAACAGAAGGATCGATTACGATTGAACGCCTACGAAACTCTGACTTTGCGAGAGAACGATGGAAGCTGGTTGGCGGTAATGCCTCAGTCTCTATGCCATGAGGTGATACAAGAATGTCACCAGCTAGCACATACAGTAGTAGCCAGAACAACCGACCTCTTGAGACAAAGCATGTACTGGGTAGGTATGAGAGATGTGGCAAAATATGTACTCGGATGGTTGCAGTACCAGATGGTGAAAGGAGATTGGTGCATACGACCGCCTTTGCAGTCAATTCCAGTCACTTCTGGCCCGTTAATGTTTTAGGTCCGTTTCCACAGACATCCAGTGGCAATCAGTACCTCTTGGTGGTGACGGAACACACTACACGATGGGTAGATGCCGTCCCGATCCCTGATCAGTGTTCGAGAACTGTGACTGACGGGACAGAGCTTCCATTGATTTTACTAGCACACCGTGCATCCACCCAGGAAACAACAGAGAAGTCACAATTTCACTTGATGTATGGGAGGAAACCACGACCAGCAATACAGAGACAGAGTGCATAACCTTTGAGGTTAGCGAACAAGTAAAGTGTGGGGAAAAAAGGAAGCAGCTAGATGTTGGCCGGGTTCGGGGAAACTACTCCCGAAGTGGGAAGGGCCATACACTGTCATTGAGAGACGTGGTCCCGTTTATACTATCAAAAGACGAAATATGTAGAAACGATTTGACAGTATAACCAACTGCAGAAGTGGTTTCAGTGGGATAAGGAAGCTCAGGCCAAGTTACAACAGGAAGGAGTAGAACCAAGAAGGTCGGAGCTACTCCGTTCGAAACTATTTGATGGGGAGGGACAAGTGTGGCGAGTGCTACTGACAAGATTTATCAGTAGTATATGTAAGGAGATTCACTGGCATAAAACAACATCAAATAGCAGGGAGATAGATTAGACATCATCGAAAGCAAATGACACAACGTCGCCGAGGTACATGGGAGACGTAAAAGAAACATAAAGAAACATGATCTGTGCAAATGGTACGTTGAAGATAAGAGGTACATAATTTGGCTATATCGAGATACTAAATCCCAAATAAACATTCCTTTAATTGAGTCTTTCGTCTTCTACCATTATAGATCGTTAGTGTAATTTTTTCTAATCATGTTCATGTGTTCACCATGTTCTTTGATATGCTCAGCCATATTGTAGGACTTACTAGTCTGATGAAACATTGTAAAAATGCATACATAGCACGAGGAGCTTTCGAGGCAGTTTAATTAACTTCCTCGTCACAGAACTTTGATTGATTTCAAGCCAGCTTTCTTCACGGGTCTATGTGACCTAGCTAACCATTGAAAGTGTTGAGCTAGGAATTAAATCCATTTTCATTTTAGGCGTTACCTATATAGTAATGGTTGCTAAGGTACTCCTTCACTGGGAAAGTTGTGTTAGTTGACTTGCGTGTAAATAGTTGTAGTTTACTGTTGTTCTGGTTGTTGTATAGTGTGTTAGCTAGTAATTTTAGTTTTCTCTATCAAAGTTGTTCTCATGCATGCGCCTACATGTATGTTTACTTAACACTGATTAAATACGCACATTGTATGGAATCATGTGAAAACCTTTACTCTATAATGCTTTGCGACTAAGTTTTAACGTGTTTATGAAATAAAGATTTGTCAACTTCTACCATTTTTTTTCTTCTGTGAATACATTTCCTTCCTTCCTTTCTTTTATTCACACACACACACGCCAGGATTTAAAATTTCTTGATCTATTCTATGAAAATGAACATTTTGACAAGTTAATTGATTGGCTTACAGTAATCAGTTTAACTGCTTTAACTAAATCATCAGATGATAGTTTAATTGAAACACACAGTAATCCACCGTCAGTTAATCAACTTTTATTCGATGGAGGCCAATTGACGGCAAATCGTTCTTGTAATCCTGATAATTTAAGACCTGAATCATCAGCTCCAGAAGTTGTCAATGGTGGTGGTGGTGGTGTGCCTACAGCTCATCCAGAGTATCCAGTTCATCTATTAGTTGCTAATTTTTTAGCAAATATATCCCAGCATCCTTTCAGTTATAGGTTAAGAAATCATGAAAGTAAGTTGTTGGTTATTATTATATTATAATAATTATTATTACTATTATTATTTCCTTTAATTCCTAGAGAAACATAGGGCTTCAGCCATGCGTCTCCATTGCGTTCGGTTCTCTGCTAGAGTCTTTACATGGCTCCAAGTCTGTCCACACGTTTTCATCTCCTCTTCACATGACCTCCTCCAAGTCACCCTCGCACTGACGACCAACTCGCCGCTTCCCTTTCGGGTTCCACTCGAGCAATGGCTTGTCTAGTGATGTCACTTGATGGTTTCCTCAGAGTATGGCCAGCCAATCCACCTCCATTTCTTCCTGCCTATTTGTTTCACAATTGGTTCCTGGTTGGTTCGCTCATTGCCAGAGATCTCTGTTGCTGATCTCTTCTGGTCATCTGATCTTGAGTATTGAGCGAAGGCAGCTGTTGATGAAGGTCTGTAGTTTGTTTGAGATGCTCTTTATGACGCGCAGTGCAAGTCTCTGATCCGTATAGTAGCACTGACTTCACATTTGAGTTGAAAATCCGGATCTTATTTTTCATGGTGAGTGCTGTTGACCTCCACACAGACTTGAGAGTAATGAAAGCTTGTCTTGCTTTCCCGATCTTCGCTGATTTGATATCCTCGTCAGTTCCGTCCGCCTGTAGTTGAAACGATGCTTTCCAGGTAGGTAAAAGAGGTTGTTTCTTTCAGGTTTCTCCCATTTATGCTGATCGTTGTCTGTTGTTGTTGTTCTTGTCCAGGAATCTTCATTATCTCTGTTTTCTCTATGTTCACCTGAAGTCCTGTGTGGTTATTACTTAAGTAATTACTCAAAGTCAATTATTTTAAAAAACAAAACTCCATGAATAGTTTAATGAAGTATGCCAGTGAAGTATGGGAGTATGTACGTAGATTGGATTAACTTGAATAGAGAGCATGTATTTCAGGCATCTAAAGTTGAAATCATCATCGTAATCACCATACGCTTCAGTATATTGAATGTGTGTTTACACTTCACTGTCAACGGAAGAAATCTGAAACAGGTTACTTCCTTCACTTATCTAGTCAGCCAGAATCGTCTCAACTACAGGCAAAACGTCAGTAAAAACAATATCGTTTTGTTTTTCATTCATTGGGAAATACAAAAACCTCTATTATAATAGATAGCAAAGTAATACCGGTCGGAGTGACAGATCCATTCGACATTACTGTAGTATTGTAGTCTTTATAAATCAATTACTTCGAATACAAGACTCAGACGGAATTCCCCCTGAAGCACTGACAACGGAACCGGAGACTGAGGAGGATGCGCTTACGCCATTATTGCAAAAGGTTTGGAAAGAAGGAAAGGTACCTAGCGATTGGAAGAAAGGCTACGTCGTCAAGCTGCCAGAGGTGCGACTTAGGTCTCACTCTGCAAGAACTAGTGTGGAATAATGCTCTTGTCCACGCCAAGTTAAATATGGAGTCGTGTCATACTAGAAATACCTTACGATGCTCTAGATGCAAACCTCTACCCCCGAAACAAGCTGGATTCAGGAAAGGCAAATCATGTGCTGATCAAATTGCAACTCTACACGTCATAAGCGAACAAAGAATGGAATAACGGTCGAACCTGTACCTTAACTTTATCAACTTCGATAAGGCCTTTGGCAGCGTTGACCGAGAAGTAATTTGGGAACCACAGTCAGCTGGAACGAATGAAGATGTCAAAACCAGTCAGAATTGGAAAAGCAACGTACGCCTTCATCAACCTGAAACCAGTTGGGAAACCGTCTGCTTCACTCACTCAGCCAACTTAAAGAACAACATTCGGATTCTGTTCAACACAAATTTGAAGTCAGTCAGTCAGTTTCTCTTACACTGCACTACGCGTTACACAAGGCATTTCCAACAGCCTGTTACAGACTTTTATCAACAGCTGCCACCTACACTGGCTGGCTGGCTCCATACTGAAGATAAAATGGCTGGTGAGCCAGCCAGAAAGAATTAGCAACAAGAAACAGTGGCTGGCGATGAACAAAGCAACCGAGCAAGAGCCGACTGCTCAACAAATATGTAGGACAAAATGGAGATGGATCGGAAATACGCTGAGGAGATCGTCGAATGACATCACACGCGATGCAGGCCATCACTCAAGTGGAATTTGAAGGGTCCTAGAATGACATGGAGGAGATCGTGTGAGTTGGAGGAGAAAATGAGAGATCATGGGCAATCGTGGTCTTAGCTGAAGAGGACAGCGGTAAATAGAAGAAAGTGGAGATGTGTTCTTGAAGCCCTGTGTTACACTCGGAACCCAAGGGAATAATAATAATAATAAATGATAATACACTGCTTGATTAATTACGCAGCGTATCAGTACTGTTTGTGTCGTACTTTTGAGCAGGACTGGAAAACTACCTCTTGTAAGATAGAGATTACAAACTGTTTCATAATCAGAATCAAAGACTTTGTTAGTTTTTACACTGTATTGAATTTGACACTATAAATTCATTTAAAGGTAATAATTGATTAGAACAGGAATAAAATCATGTGTAAAATTCAGTTGACACTAACCAAATTCGGTAATATGTATGTCATATTTTATACACCTTGAAGTAATTATTTGTTTATGTATACTTTCATAAATGTTAGGTGACTTTTATTGACATTAAGAGTTGTTGTTATTATTTTTGTTGTTTCATTCTGAAATTGATTGAACCTGTGTGTCGTGTATACACACAGAATGAAAACAGTATTCCATATTGGATGTAAGGCGTATGTACGCACAACTTAGCGCTCAAGTGAATACAGATGCAATATGATTGTATAATTCATTTGATGAATGTCATATTCTTGATTTTCAAAACAAATATCAGTTCGATTGTTTGCGTCGAGTATGAAGGTAGAACGGCAAAGTTCAACAATAGCCTCCCAGAGGATGCGAACGCACGGGTGACCTTAAGCCGACCAATCAAAAAAATTAGGAATTTTTGCACAAAAAATGATGTATATTTACAAGAAAATGCATGAAAACACATTGAAAAGGGGTATCTTTCTATGACATGACTTAAAAATACGTCCCAGTTATAATGAGAAGTATCAGTTGCTAAGTTTCTGTACACGAATTCACCGAGGCGACTGAAGATAACCTGTTTTTGTTAATCGTTTGTCTCTTATCCTGTTGTGCCCTCCTTAAAATAAATGATATCAACTCCAAATCTATCCCTAATCGTAACCCTAACCTTAATCCTTACCTTATCCCTAAACTTGACACTAACCCTAACCTTACTGGTAACCCTAATTACAACCCTTATCCTAACCGTATACCTAACTCTAATGATAATTATGACCGTGATCATAACTCTAACCCCAATAATTACCTTAACCCTAATCCTAACCCTAACGAGATATTAACACACTGTCGAAACAGTACTTAAAAACGTGATCTAGGTGAAATTTGCTCCTTAGTTGGTGAATAGCGTTGATATTTCGGCTATGATAATGACAGGTGCCGTTAGCCAACGACTAGCATGCGTTCAGAGTCATTGAAGCGTTCGCACTCCCGGGACGCTATTGTTGAACTTCGCCGGTAGAACTGCCGTATATAGTGCATAATGTGATACCGTAGTATTTAATGAATGACTTTTCAGCATTCTGGTTACTGCTCACAGAAATATCATACTTATCATATAGCTTTGAAAAATCTATCCTTATGGTTTTTAAAAGTTCCTCGGTTTTTTGTGTTATAAAAGTATTTAGACCAAGTTACTAAGTTCTTTTACATATATTTTATTCCACTTTTTACCTATGGATTAGATGTTAACAAACTACTCAGTCTTTGGGAGATTTCTCCAAGTTTGCATTTAAATCTTCTCGGTGCAAAAATTGATCATAATATAAAAGTTCATTCTAAATTGGCTGATATTTCGTGTTCAACATCTCCAACACCAGCAGCAGCACCACCATCAACGACGACAACAACAGCCGCATCACATTGTAAATCAGGAGGGGAGTGTAGTCAAACTAAAGATTATGATTCATTGAAGTCATTTCCTATTTATTGTCCAGATATTTATAAATTAAATATTTCAAAGTAAGTGTTTCATTATAAAATAAAGGTATCTTTATACAGAAAACATCAGTATTTGTATTTGTATAAGTGGTGTGTATATGCATGCTTTTTCTCACACCTCGGAGATTACCTGGTTTGGATGCTTTGCATAAAAAGTTTGGTTATATATCCTGCCTAAATTAACTAATCAATCATGAAGTCAAGTCTTTATAACTGTTTTGATACTGTAATGGTCATTTACTTATTTATTTATGGGATAGCTGTTCACTCACAGCCGGCGTAAAAACAAAACATGCTGCACAGTATCTCTTTATTATTTTATCTCATTACTCTGAGGGGACTAAAATTGAAACTAAGTCTAATGCAAAATACCTCGGTCTAGTTCTATCTTCCGACCTTACTTGGTCATCTCACATCCTAACGATTTCTAAGAAAGTGTTCTGTCTAACCTACTACATTAAGACTACATTAGACAATCTGGAATCACACAACCTCTGCTTTCACAATTTGTCAACTCTTGTATCTTACCTATTCTACTTTACTGCTCCCCTTTAGTCTTTCCTGGGCTACTGAAAAAAGGCTATACAATCCTAAGAAGGATGTTTTAGGTAGTTAGTATGACTAGTGGTGTAAAACCCAGTCAGCTCTTCACTACATTAGTTGAAAGGCATCTGAATACATGCGACAAATGGTCTAAAAACATACTCTCCGACCCCCAACACCCCCTCTATTCCCAACTCTCGCCTTGTATCTCATCAGGTAGAACCAGAAATCAGTATAAAATAATATATGCTCGTACAACCAAGTACAGGAACTCAACGATACCATATTTGGCCCGAGGTCTAAGTGACAGAGACAATGTTAAGCGTGAAACCTATGACTTGCTTTGTTGTTAATAACATAATTTTAGGCTCTTTTATTTCTCTCTTATTTTGTATTCTATAGTGAACTCCTTCTCAAACATACTTAGCTACCTAAATTATTAACATTGGCTTACTTCTTTTGTACTTTATTCGTTCTTGTGTGTATCTACTAGTCCTGACTATACTAGCACTATGAGTATTACAAAATTGTCCTGTCATTAACCATCATATAATATTAGTTTTTTCGTTGTTTTTTGTTCGGCAATATTAACTGACAATCATTGGTTGTGAACGCCATTATGGCCATCTTAAAATTTTGTATTATGCAGGATTACTCACACTACCTCTACAAACACTGCATTAGACCTGACAATAAAAAACAAAACAACAACCCTGAAATGTTATTTGATGATTGTTTAGTGTTGTTTCAACCAAATTAACTGATCATCTTGGCGATAAACATTCTTAAATATCATTTCATAACTTCTTGTATGTCTGTAGCTTTATTGTTCACCATACATAATCATATCATAGCTTCCACTACCCAATACTGAGATATTATTTATTATGTTGTTTATTTTCCTTTCTACTTTTTGGTATTTTTTCGCATTTTTTATTATTTCTGTGTTTTTTTGTTGTTGTTGTCTTTATATTTATTTTTTGAAATACTCCTTTTAAATGTTTGATAAAATTAGATGCAAATATTGTAGATATGTGCTGAAAATTCCACACTGTACCACTAGTACTGTTTCTGGAATAAAGCAAATTATTATTATTATTATATAGTCACTGAATTCGGAGGATATCATTGAGTTTCTTATCTGTTCGAGTGTATGCACATCTTACATCTGTTATGTAGGCAGTCATTTTCAGAGTCGAGTTGAACAGTAGCTCCATTCAACACTTTTACAGGTTTTCAAACCATAACCAATAAACTACACATTTTGTGAAAGAGATGTAATCATACTGGATTGTCTACGCTTCGGTAATAAGTGTTCGAATCCATGACTCACTGGTTGAAATTTCCAGTAAATTAACCAATCTGTTATAGCTCCACTATGTGCAGAATTATGACTATCTATAGATGCTTACAAGCATATCCCCTCCCATCACTCAGTAAAAGAGGTGTAAAGGTGATTACAGTCTTTATATAGATACTTCCAGCAAGGGGGAAATTAAATGCATAAAAAGCTTGATTCTGTCACACTTGGTAAATACTGAACATCGCATCGACGCCAACACAGCCTTCATAGTTATATACCAGCTTCTGAAGTCGTTATCACGTACAGTTCGCTTACGTCTCCTGTACATAGCTGAAGCTGTTACAATCAGGTTGACTAAACTGGAACTTTGTATCCAAAAAGAACACGTCCAGACGCTGTTCCTACCGTGGTCAAACTTGGATTAATGATTCTTTTTCTCACCAAGAGTGCCTTTTCCCCTTATCCCTCTTGGTTTTTCTTTTTCTTTGCTTATTATTACAATTATTATCATTATTATTCGTTATAACTTATACCCTTTATTCAAACATTCTCTCAATACTATCGAATTTTCCATTTTTACTATCCGGATTTATTATTAGAAATGTTATCTCTTTTCTCAATATATGCCTCCACTTGTTTCATTTCACATTTTGGTTATTTCATGATGAACCTCTCATTGCAGTCTTGTTATTATTTATTACGTTAAAATGTATCCGCCTCATAACTAGCCATTATTGTAATGACAACAAATATTATATTTTATTTTGATTGGACACTAGTAACTGGTGTGATGTGTCTAGTCCTTTCTTTGGTACAGACTGAATTCTGCCAGTCAGGTTTGCAATATGGCCACCATTCTAGGTAGCTCGCCACCACGGTGCACATTGATTTGATGATATTAGATAGTTGGAGACAATCGGCAGGAAACCTTGCACCTAGGTTTCGTGCTAGTTGGCACTCGTCCTTCCGATTGCCTCCAACCATTCAATATCATCAAATCAATGTGCACCGTAATGGCGAGCCACCTAGCATGGTGGCCACATTGCAAACCTGACTGACAGAATTTAGTCTGCACCAAAGAAAGGACTAGACATATCACACTAGTTACTAGTGTCCAATCGAAGTATCCGTTACAGTGCTACAGGAGGTCAATTGTCAGCCCAAATAGCTTAGTGGTAAAGTCTCTGACTGCAGACGGCTTTGAGTGACACGGGTTCGAATCTCAGAAGGGGAACGAGTTCCTTGTAGGTTGCAGATATCCTTTACTGATTAGTGAGTGCCAATTATCATGAAACCTAGTTGGAAGGCTTCCTGCCGATCGCCTCCAACCATCTTATATCACTTTATTTTATAATTATAAGAACCTGAAGAGAAATTATTGAAAAGAATATTCTTCGGTCAGATTGACTTTTACTTCCATTCCAGATGAGCCTAATTTTCCATTTAGATGCACCCTTCAAAGTAGTACATCAAAGCTCTTTGAATACAATATTCATATTTATACTGTTAGAGTGGTTGCATTCAAACTCATATAGTGTGAATCGTGTATTCTAAATCAATTCATTCAGATTCTTATTCCCTTGATTACGTAATGTGGTTATGAGTGCTTCTTTTTTAATCGTTCTGTTAATTGTTGTGTATAATAATGTTTAGGAGTAATTGTGTATATTTTTTCTGTATTCCTCTTAACTTAACAATTGTTTCACTTGCTGCTGACTATTAATTCTAACAAACATAATTTCATATAAGTATAAAACTTGGGCACTGTGGTAGAGCATAACTCCATCATGGATAAGATTTTATTTTGATAAATCACACAGTGTGTTATACAGTAATATTAACTGATGACGTTTCGAGCATAAACTATTGATCATAGTCGTATCAAAACATAATTTCAGAAGACCAAATGATTCAGTGAAGAAATATATATTTACTTTTCAATTAGATCCTAATATATGATTATACTCTTATGTATGCATATAACATTTTTAATACGATACCAAAAATCTTACCAGTCTTGTAGTGGTGATAAATTTGTTAGTTAGATCGATAATTAACGACAAAAAATTAATGCACACAATTAAAGGGTAGGTATGATTGCAAAAATCAAACAAGTGGATTGCGTAATGCACAGATTGGTTACGTAACAAGCAGTTGAAGATGAAGTAGTTGGCATAATAAAATAATTAAGCCAATGATAAATTGTAGAAGGCTTAGAGAAGGAGGGGAAAATTGTCAGTTTTTTACATTCATCTAAGTGAGACTATTTGTGAGAAAAATGGCTCCTTAATTAGCTCTCAGGATAGACGCCTCGAACGCTGGAAAGAACACTTCGAGGAACAGTTTAACTTGCCTACAGCCACACTGAGCCTCCCCGCCATCCATCACACACCCGAATGGGACATAGACACTGGCCCACCGTCTGTAAGTGAGGTCACCAAAGCTATCTGTAATTTGAAACGAGGCAAAGCGGCAGGACCCGACGGAATTATTCCGGAGGTGTTTAAATATGGGGGGTGACATGCTAGTATATAGTTTAACTAAGGTACTAGGTAACGTCTGGGAATCAGAGACGGTTCCATCAGACTGGGGTAAGTCACTTATTATACCGAGGAATCGACTTGTTACCGGGGAATAGTCTTATAGACTTAGAATACGCAGACGACATAGTCCTGTTAGGGGAGGACGCTGACAAAATGCAGAGTCTTCTGAACACCTTGAGCAGCAATCTTCGTATGTTTGGCATGCGATTCGCCCCTGTAAAATGTAAGATGCTGCTACAGGACAGGACTACGTCAACTCCAAGCTTAGTGATAGGGAGTGAAGTGATAGAACATGTTGACCACTTCACCTATTTAGGAAGTTGTATCAGCACCAACGGATTGATTGGTGACGAAATCTCAGCACGGATCCAGAAAGCTAGGGCTGCTTTCGCTAACTTACACCGTTTCTGGCGTAGGCGTGACATCCGACTGTCAACCAAGGGACGTGTATACTGCTCATCAGTTCGCTCCGTCCTTCTCTATGGCGGTGAGACGTGGCCATTGAGAGCGGAAGACATGAAGAGATTGTCTGTTTTTGACCACAGATGTTTACGATCTCTTTCTCGCGTTAGGTGGTATAATAAGGTAAGTAATGTTGACGTTAGGCGTAGAGTGTTGGGCAAAGAGGGAAA